CCAGCCCCCCCCCCCCCCAGGAAATGCCAGACCTCGTCAGGGGGTCTCTCCCCACAAAATGCCAGACCCCCGAGGGTCAGGGGGTCTCTCCCCACATTCCTAAAATAAAGGTCCATTTTAGTTTCATACTTCCTATCTTTTCAGCTGTGTCAAAATTCTATCAGGTTCCATACATTGAGTCATATATTGACAAGCAGGCTAGGCAAGAACAGATTTGTTGAAACAGAGGGATTGTTTATCATGATACAGGAACACTCCAGCAATAAGGGAGGGGGACCCTTATAAAGCCAGCACTGTTAAGGGCATTACCATAAATAGGAACATTCAAGGGAGGGGCCCTTTAATTAGCGGCCGGTACCTAAAGGTATATAGACAATTACTCAGACTGAGCGCTTATCAGAGGTGCGCAGCTGGGCTTCGGACACTGTCAAGGTCAACTGAATTCAGCAGAACAGAAACTTAGAGACCTCTAATTGATCACAAAATATCTATAAGTTTTCTATTTTATAAATGTGTTCTTACATTGTAATTGTGCTCCAACACACCCCGCACGGATATACTTCTTTTTTTTTTAATGTACTTTCTTATCACATCCTGTAGTACCCTAGTACAGACATCTGTCTACGGTGTTTATGGTCTGGCTCTGCCCTAACAAAGCATGCTCTCCTGAAAGCAGGGACCAAGGTGATGGCGTTTTGTGCCAGATTCCCCAGTGCCTGGGTTCAGGCATGGCCAGAAAAAGATGATGGGCAGAAAGTTTAGGAATCCAGGCACTCATCCTGTCAGTCAGTGAGTGCTTTCTGAGCACAAATGCTGGTTTTGCGGTCAGGTGTGATGGTAAATACTTATTTTCCCAGCACTCAGGAGGTGGAGGCAGAAGGATTGCTGTGAGTTTGAGGCCAGCCTCTTGGGCTACATAGTGATTTCAAGGCCAACCTAAGCTACATAGTGAGACACTGCTTTATAAAACCAAACAAATGGACCAACCAAACAAACAAATATTGGTCTTGGTCTTGACCTACAGAAAAGGACTGGAGTCTATTGCAAGGCCTACCAGGGACAGACAATCAACTCTTAGAACAACAGGTGAGACTTGATGTAAGGGAAACACAACAGAATTCCTGGATGAAGGGTGTGGGCAGGGGGTGAGGGCAAAGAAGCAGGGCTGAATTTGTAATCTTTAGGGGCCCTACAGTTTTTCTCCTGCAGTGAATGGGGCCAGGCTTGGGGTCAGACTGCCTGGTGCAGCCTCCACAGCTGTGAGGATCAGGAATGTGAGGTGCAAGACTAAGAACTCAGGGCCCGGTTGATGGGCAAGACCCTGGGCTTTCTAGTTCCGGGATGGACACTGACTTACAGCTGAACTTCGGACAGGCCACACTGTGGTCTGGGCCTCAGTCTCCACCTCTGCATTCCCTGGGCTTCAGGGATGCCGAAGATCCTCTCAGTTCCTGCAGATGCTTTACCCCCTGCTGGGAGTCCCAGGCCTGTGGCCTCTGACCCAAGAAGGTGGCATACCTGGGAGAGGAGGTGACTCAGGCCGGCTCCACTGCTGCTCAGCTCCACACTTGCCTTGCCTTCTTCCATGGCATGGCCGAGGTTTAGTGGCCTAGGAGACAGGCAGCGGGGTGGGCAATGAGTGGGAATGGAGCCCAGAAGCACTAGCTGGGATGGGGCAAAGGCCGCCTGGCAGTTAATTATTGCACGTGAGCATCTGCAGGTTGACACAGGGATTGGAGGGGAGGATTAATAGTGCAGCTTGGGCTGTGGTTCAGGTCAGTGGTACAGTGCTTGCTTGGCATGCACAAGACCATGGGTTCAGGGCTGGGGATTTAGCTCAGCGGCATAAGCGCCTGCCTTGCAAGCAAGCAGTCGTGAGTTCGATCCCCGGTACCGATAAAAAGGAAAAAGACAAAAAATAATAATAATAATAATAATAATAATAATAATAATAAAAAAGACCATGGGTTCAATACCAGCACCACAAAAAAAATAAAATAGTGCACCCCTTCACGCCTGTAATCCCAGCACTTGGGAGGCTGAGGCAGGAGGATCATTTCGAGTTTGAGACCAGCCTGGGCTACAAAGTGAGTTCAACGCCAGCCTGAACTGCATAGAGACCCTGTCTCAAAAAGACCCCCCCAAAAAAATAGTGCACCCCTTTTAAAGGCACCCCAGATTCCCTTACCCCTTCTACTCAGGAACTCAAGCATGACAAAAATCCAGCATCCTGAGTTGCCAAGATCCACTGGGATAATCTTGCCCTTTTTCCCCGTCCTTGTCCTGTTACTCAGATGAGGGGCTGGGATCTGGAGATCAAAGGCAGAGCCAAATGCAGAGCACAGGCTAGCAAGCCCAGTGTTACATGGTGTTCCCGTGGGCCCAGGGTGCAGAGCTGCCAACTCCAACCTCACAACCCAGGTGTCACCGGCTTTCAACCACAAAATCACAATCATTCAGAATCTTTTGATCAGAATCTCAGTTGTTCAAAGACCTAAGCTCACCTCCCTTCATCCCTCACTCAACAAGCAAGGACAAAAGGCTTTTTGGGGGAGAGAGGGACAGGGTCTCACTTTGTAGTCCAGGCTGGCCTTGAATTTGAGGCAGTCCTCCTGCTTCAGCCTCCTGAATGCTGGGATTATAGATGTATGCCAGTTTTGGTTACAGTTTTGTATTACAGTTTTGGTTTTAAACATAGTCTTGCTAATGTAGTCCAGGTTGGCCTCAATACAGTGATCCTCCTGTTTCAGCCTCTCAAGTGCTGGGATCACAGCTATGTGTCTCCACACTCAGTGGCTTTCTTTCTGTCTGTCTGTCTGTCTGTCTGTCTGTCTGTCTGTCATTCTGTCTTTCTTTCTCTTTAATTGACTGAGCTCCAGTACTGATGGGAAAAGAAAGGAGAAACAGACAGGGTCAGTGGGATAGTAGGATGCAAAGCTGCCTTCTCCGTGCCTACATGGACTGAGGGAAAGATCCAAGTTGGAACCAGATGTGGAAACCAGCAGACTAGGAACAGCAGCAAACATTTGGGAAGAGCAGGCCCTATGCCCTGGCGAATGCCACAGGTGTGCAGCAAAGGGAGGAAATAAGGAAGGCAAAGAAGAGGAGGGGATCCAAAGGAAGTGATTGAATTTCTAGAGGAAAATCAGCCAAGGAGGAAGGCCCTGAAGGGCATACAGAGAAAGTGACTCCCAGGAAACTCCAGCTCCTGTCCTGTGTTCTCTCTGGACATAATTGTGAGCCGAATCCTGTAGCATCCTGGGAGGGTGACACGCTCTGAAGACCTCAGCAGGGAACAGCCCTTGGAACTCCCAGATCCTTTGTCTAACTGGAAAAGATGTTTAGGATAGGTCCTCTTTATAGGGAACTTGACCCTGCCCCTGCCCTGGGGCTGATCGTTAACCGAACTTTATGTCTTCACTACAGGAATATGGTTTGTATCCTGCACCAGGGCCTTAGGCCCTGAATATTTGGGAATAAGAAACCATAAAGGGGAGTTTGAGTTTGAGATAGAGAGCAGCTCCTGGGGTGAACCTCTGCCCCTGGTTAAGCCTCAGTGCTTTGTTCTGGATGACAAGATGCATCAGAAAAAACCAGGGTCCTCTTCTCCACCACACTGAGGCCCCTTTCTGCTTCTGTCAACTTCCTCTCTTTTATTTTTATTTTTTTGAGACAATTTGGCTATATAATTTAGGCAGGACTTGAACTCACTTATGTAGCCCAGGCTGGCCTCGAATTCACAGCAATGTTCCTGCCTCAGTCTCCCAAATACTAGCACCACAGGTGTGTGCCACCACACCTGGTTCCCATCCTGCTTCTGGAAGCTCAGATCCCCTCCTTGCTGGCCAATGGCTGTTGCACCCAGGCTGCAGATGGGTGTACCATCTTGTCATCCAGAACAAAGCACTGAGGACTTTCACTTTATTGAGGCCAACCTGGACTACATTAGCAAGACTATGTTTAAAACCAAAACTGTAATACAAAACTGTAACCAAAACTGGCATACATCTATAATCCCAGCATTCAGGAGGCTGAAGCAGGAGGACTGCCTCAAATTCAAGGCCAGCCTGGACTACAAAGTGAGACCCTGTCCCTCTCTCCCCCAAAAAGCCTTTTGTCCTTGCTTGTTGAGTGAGGGATGAAGGGAGGTGAGCTTAGGTCTTTGAACAACTGAGATTCTGATCAAAAGATTCTGAATGATTGTGATTTTGTGGTTGAAAGCCGGTGACACCTGGGTTGTGAGGTTGGAGTTGGCAGCTCTGCACCCTGGGCCCACGGGAACACCATGTAACACTGGGCTTGCTAGCCTGTGCTCTGCATTTGGCTCTGCCTTTGATCTCCAGATCCCAGCCCCTCATCTGAGTAACAGGACAAGGATGGGGAAAAAGGGCAAGATTATCCCAGTGGATCTTGGCAACTCAGGATGCTGGATTTTTGTCATGCTTGAGTTCCTGAGTAGAAGGGGTAAGGGAATCTGGGGTGCCTTTAAAAGGGGTGCACTATTTTTTTGGGGGGGTCTTTTTGAGACAGGGTCTCTATGCAGTTCAGGCTGGCGTTGAACTCACTTTGTAGCCCAGGCTGGTCTCAAACTCGAAATGATCCTCCTGCCTCAGCCTCCCAAGTGCTGGGATTACAGGCGTGAAGGGGTGCACTATTTTATTTTTTTTGTGGTGCTGGTATTGAACCCATGGTCTTTTTTTTTTTATTATTATTATTATTATTATTATTATTTTTTTTGTCTTTTTCCTTTTTATCGGTACCGGGGATCGAACTCACGACTGCTTGCTTGCAAGCAGGCGCTTATGCCGCTGAGCTAAATCCCCAGCCCTGAACCCATGGTCTTGTGCATGCCAAGCAAGCACTGTACCACTGACCTGAACCACAGCCCAAGCTGCACTATTAATCCTCCCCTCCAATCCCTGTGTCAACCTGCAGATGCTCACGTGCAATAATTAACTGCCAGGCGGCCTTTGCCCCATCCCAGCTAGTGCTTCTGGGCTCCATTCCCACTCATTGCCCACCCCGCTGCCTGTCTCCTAGGCCACTAAACCTCGGCCATGCCATGGAAGAAGGCAAGGCAAGTGTGGAGCTGAGCAGCAGTGGAGCCGGCCTGAGTCACCTCCTCTCCCAGGTATGCCACCTTCTTGGGTCAGAGGCCACAGGCCTGGGACTCCCAGCAGGGGGTAAAGCATCTGCAGGAACTGAGAGGATCTTCGGCATCCCTGAAGCCCAGGGAATGCAGAGGTGGAGACTGAGGCCCAGACCACAGTGTGGCCTGTCCGAAGTTCAGCTGTAAGTCAGTGTCCATCCCGGAACTAGAAAGCCCAGGGTCTTGCCCATCAACCGGGCCCTGAGTTCTTAGTCTCCTACTGGAAGTGGGGGTGGTCACCGGTGTCGGATGTCACAGCTGGAGTCAGATCTGCAGATGAGACTAGGAAGGTGGGAGGGGACTTGCAGAGGAGTGTTGGGCCTGGCGGGCTGAATGTGTCTAATCTGCGCTCCGAGCAGCCGCTCTCCGCACTCCGCGTCCCCCAGAGCCGGATCTGAAGAATCACCTGGTGCTCCGGAAGGTACAGATTTCCCTGGTGTGGCCGCCGAGGGTTAAGGGTGAGTGATGGGCCTACAGACTGAGTCCCGAAGTGAAGGAACTGGCAAGTGGGAGCAGGAGGGCACGGGGTGGGGATTCCATTCCGGGTTTCCGGAGCCCCGCTGTGCGGAGTCGGCCTGGAGACCGCTGCTCTGTCGCGCTGCCGCAGAGCTGTGCTGCGAGGCCCGCACCGGCTCGGGGAGAGGCGAGCGAGGCGACCCAGGCACCCTCGCGAGAAGGGGCATCGCTTTAGCGACGGACTTGAGAGCGGGAAATGGGCTCGTGGGGGAGAGAGCGATCTGCGGGAAATGAATTTGGAACATTTCCAGGGAGTTTGGAGAGCCCGGGCACCTGGTGATTAGTGGAATGAAAGGAGCCGACACCCCCAAAAGTTAAGTGCCTGAGATCAAAGGAGCGATATGATGGCTAGTGGAGGTCATCCTGTGACACCAGTGAAAGTCCGGAGTCTCCCAACACTCCAGGACTGCCCTCCACTCCTTCTGCCCCACGTCCTCTGGGCCTGGAGACATCCCCAGGCCACAGGGCCTCCTGCAGGACTTTCATCCACATTTCCTAATGATGCCGCTGAAAAGGGCTGGAATCAAAGTTTGAAACAGCAACAACAAAACTGTACTGCTAGCACCGGGGATCTAGCTCAGTGGTGTAAGCGCCTGCCTGGCAAGCGTGAGGTTGTGAGTTTGATCCCCGGTACCAAAACTAAACAAAAATAAAAAAACTGTATTGCTCAGGCCTGAAATAACTGGAAGGCTGAAATCACTGGGAGGCTGAGGCAAGAAAGTTTAAGTTTGAGCACAGCACGGGCAATTTAGTGACTTAGTGAAACCTGTTTCAAACTAAAAACGCACTCAGGATGTAACTCAGTTTGAAGGCCTTGGATTTAATCCACAGTGTGGGAAACACCCCCTCTTCCCCATATATCTTCAGTTTACCTGTGGCTTCAAAATGAAGATATTTTTGTAAAGTTTTACAAAAGCCATTTGAAGTCAACATTTGACCTGAAAGTTGATGAGTTCTACATATTTACCCCACCAATATCACGTCCTTCTCTTTAGAACTTGTGCTTGATAGCTGGGTGCATGTAAATCATATTACCTTAGTTTATATTATCTTTTATAAAAATCCTAAATTTTTTTAATTTAGTCTCCCTATGTCTTTCAGGCTGGCCTTGACAAGCTCACTATGTAGTCCAGGCTGGCCTCAAACCCTGGGGATCCTTCTGCCTCAGCCTACGTAGTGCTGGGATTATAGGCATGCACCACCATGCCCAGTAAAATCCTACAAGTTTTAAACCAACAGGAAACATTTGCCTCCAAAGATTTTGAATAAAGGACTGTGGATACATGGCAGATTCCTAGCTATTTGTGCACACTGCCCTTCCCGGATCCTCATGGTCACCTGAATGATACAGAGGCTCCAGCCAGGGGCTGTCCCCAGTGGGTGTGTCTAAGCCATGCCTTGCAAGTCTGGGACAACCAGATTCCAGCAGAGAGCTGGAGGAGGGAGCACACATCTGCCAGGCTCCGCCCACTGGGGCCAGGTCCATACCTTAAGGCCCCACTTCCATATTCCTTGTGCCTTCTACCACAGCTCCTTTCTCCAGGACCTGACATGGCCCAGTTGGTGACAGCACAGTTGTTACTCCTGGTGTGGGTGGCCGCATGTGGAGCCCAGGCCAGTGCTGCTCGGGCCAGGACAGATCTTCTCAATGTGTGCATGGATGCCAAGCACCACAAGGAAAAGCCAGGCCCTGAGGACAACTTACACCAGCAGGTGAGTTGAGGGGTGACCTGGGGTGCCATGGGGCTGCCTGAGGAAAAGCAGGTCAGGAGAAGGAAATGTTTGGCCCCTCCTTGTTAGTAGAGGTAGACAGAGCTGCCCATGAGACCATCGGTTTGTTCTGATGTGGATGACTATGTTTTTCACGATATTGTGGTCTTGGGCTTGCTTGGGTATTGGTTTTTAGTAGTAATGGAGTAATGGAAATTAAAATGAAAGCACAAATCTACAAGGAGAAAAAGCTTCAGTTGGAAAGTTGGAAGGTAGATAAGAAAGGGCTGTAGCCAGGCAAGGTGGCACATGTCTGTAAATCCAAGCACTCGGGAAGCTGGGCCAGGAGGATCTTAGAAATTCAAGGTCAGCCTGGGTTATGTAGGGAGACTCTACCTCAAAATAAATAAATAAATAAAAGTAGTGGAAGGGGGCACATCCTGGTATAGGGTTCAGACTAGTGGGAGGCCACTTTTTATTTTTTTGGTCTCACTTGAACTGTGTTCCAAACTGGCCGGGAACTCCCAACCATTCTCCTGCTTCAGTCTCTAATGCTGGGATTACAGGTGTCCCCACCACATGGGGCTGTGATGCTTTTACAGTTTGGCTGATGCTGCACTGGAGTGGCTTGATCATTAGCTCAGTCCTGGTATCACAGTTTTGAAATCTATATGGCTAAAGGATAGTTTCTTTTTCTTTCTTTTTAAAAATTGTTTCTTTGAGACAGGGTCTCACTATGCAGTTCAAGCAGGCTTCGAGTTCACTTTGTAGCCCAAGCTGGTCTCCAATTTGCAACCATCCTCCTGCCTCAGACTCCTGGGTGCTAGGATTACAGCTGTGTGTCACCACGCCCAGAGTAGAGGATAGTTTCTTGTCTCTGTTGTGGTTTAGTCATATGCTGTGCGGCTGTCTCTTCTGGAATCCAGGTGATCACAGGTTTAGAACAGTGAGTAGAGACCTCTTGTTGAATGTCTTTGGAATTCCCTGCCCTAGTACCCCTTTAATAGGGTAAGAATTTGTCAAATCAAGACTACCTAACTTTGTTGTGTCAACTTTTAGACACTCCTTACACGATTAACATTATCCAGCAGCATAAGCACCTGCCTGGCAAGTACTAGGTCTCGAGTTCAATCCCCAGTACCAAAAAAAAAAAAAAAAAAAAAAAAAAAAAACCAGAAAAGCTAAAGATTATCTATATGTGGAGTTGATGTATAGTAACAAAGGATACAAAGTGAAAGTTAGGCTGGGTATGGTCGCACATATGTGTAATCCTGCCACATGGGAGGCTGAGGCAGGAGAATTGCTGTGAGCAACAAAACAAAAACAAAAACGAAAATCTCACAACAACAACAGAAACAAAAGTCAGATTTTGTTCTGCTTTTAGTTACCTATTGGGCATTTGAAGACCCAGGTAAACAGTTACAAGTCACCCAGATGTAGTGGCACAGGCCTGTAATCCCAGAGTCAGAGGTAGGTGGATCACTGAAAATTTGAGGTCAGTTTGGGCTACCAAGTGAGTTTAAAGCCAGTCTAAACTATATAGTAAAGTGCTTTTCCAAACAAAACAAAACAAAATGAGTAATGGGTTATAGAAAAATGGATTTTTTTGAAGGGACCTTACGAGAAAGATTTTTTATTATTAGTAGTAAATGTTTACAGTATATAACCGTTACATTGATTGTGAAGAGTTGGTACATAGACATAACACATGTTAATTGCTTTTATGTTCCCAAAATGTCATTTTTAATTTCGTTTTTTTTTTTTTTTTTTTGAGATAGAGTTATGTAGTGTTTTTTTGTTTGTTTGTTTTTGTCTTGTTTTGGTTTGGCTTTGTCTTTTTGAGACAGAGTTTCACTATGTAATTCAGGCTGGTCTTGAACTCACTATGTAGCCCAGGCTGGCCTCAAACTCTCAGCAATCCTCCTGCCTCAGCCTCCTGAGTGCTGGGATACAGATGTGCACCACCACTCCCAGCAAAATTATGTAGTTTAGACTGGCTTTGAACTCACTTTGACCTACATGGGCCTTGAATTTGAAGTAATCCTCCTGCCTCAGCCTCTCAAGTGCTTTGTGGAGAGTATAGCTACATGCTATGATACCCCACTGGAAATGGTTTTCAAGTCTCTGGCTGTGTAAGATAAAAAACAACCCATGATTTTAATGAGTAAGGGCTTATGATTTTGTCCATGTTCCCACCTCTATGCTAATCCCCTGACAATAGTATTATTCTTGTACAAATATAATGAGCTGTGTTTACTTACTTCAGAGAAAAATTGTTGTCTCCTGAGGTGGCTATCTCCAGTTAGTGTGGTTCTTGATCCTTTTGAGACCTTGAAGTTTTTCTAATCTCTGACAAATGGTCTGAACATTATATGGGCCCTGCACCTTATTAGCACACTTAGAGGATATTATATTCTCTTCGGCTAAAGTATGAAACCACAAGCCACATGGCCTATATCTATAATTAATTAAATTTTTTTTTGGTACCAGGGATCAAACTCATGATCTCACACTTTCCAGGCAGGTGCTTATTCTGCTGAGTGAAGTCCTCAGCTCCTCCATAATTAATTATTAAGAAAACAGAAGTGGATGTTGGGGATGTAGCTCAGTGGCATAGTGCCTGCTTGGCAAGCACAAGGTCCTGAGTTCAACTCTGGTATCTGAAAAAACAAAAAACAACAACAACAAAAAACACCACACAGAGGGGAAAAGTATTAAATTATGTTTTTTGTTTTCAAGTGTCCCCCAGCCACTGTCGCCCGCCTCAGTATTAACTTTCTACTTGACACTGTGACTGGGTCATTGTGTACCAGATGTCAGTACAGCGCCAGTGACCCAACTTCTTGACTGTTGGGTCACATGAATTAGGAAGTAGACCCAGAGAGGAGCCTGGGAAGTACAGTTTGAAAAACCTGCCCAAAACTAGTGGCACATACCCGTAATCCCAACACTCTTGAAGTGGAGGCAGGAGGATTGCTGATAGTTTGAGGCCAGCCTGGGCTACAGAGTGAGTTCAAGGACAGTCTGAACTGCATAGTAAGACCCTGTCTAAAAAACAAAAAATCTATCCTAGGGGTGGAAATGGATATAGAGGCTTAGATTAGGGAAAAAAGCACATTACCTATAATGGCTTCTCTCTGCCATTCCTCCATAGCTGGAGAAAGGTAGCTGGGCCTCTCTCACCAGGAAGCTGGCTGCCAAATATTTGAGGCTTTCTTTTTTTTTGAGACAGGGTATTGTTATGTAGTTTAGGAAGGCCTCGAACTCAGCAATTTTCCTGTCTCTGCCTCCTGAGTTCTGGGATTACAAGCATGTGCTATTATGCTTGCAATGCCCAGCCTCTCTGTTTTTTTCCTTCTTTTCTTTCTTTCTTTCTTTCTTTCTTTCTTTCTTTCTTTCTTTCTTCCTTTCTTTTAGACAGGGTCTCACTATGTTGGTCAGACTGGCAGACTCATGGTTATCTTCCTGCCTCAGCCTCTTGAATACTGGGATTACAGGGCAGAACTACCATGCCCAGCTATATCATCTTTATTAAATGTTTGGCTAGATTCAGGATATTAAAGATGTTGTGGCAAAATAATTATATGGGAGATCTCAGGGGACAGACATGTCCTCTACACAGTAAGATCCTATCTAAAAAAGAGAAAGAGACAGAGACAGAGACAAACCTCAGGTCCAACAGGGTTGAGAACCACAGCCAGATGTTTGCCAGATGCCTACATTAAAATACCATAGGCCAGGGGCTGGGGATTTAGCTCAGGGCATAAGCACCTGCCTTGCAAGCAGGTGGTCGTGAGTTCGATCCCCGGTACCGATAAAAATGAAAAAGACAAAAAAAAAAAAAATACCATAGGCCAGCTTGGACCACACAGTGATTTAAATGCCAATGTGCATTATAGAGTGAGACTGTGTCTCAAAAAAGCAAAAAGTAGAGATGCGTTCAATCTGATGTCATAACTGTGAGAAAAAGCAAAAGGGCCAGTCATTTAGAAGGCTGAGGCAGGAGGGTCACTTCAGCATGAGGGTTGAAGGCCGCATCTCAATCAATCAATTTAACAATAAAAGTAATTTATAATGTGATTTCAATATATAAAGGCACCTTTTGATGGCATTAACAGATAAGGACCATCGTTCCAGTTGCTCTTGTTTTTCATCACCGAGACCACTGCTGCCAAGTGTAGCCTGACAAGTAGTGATGTAACCTGGCTCTCAAGAGCAGACTTGACTTTATTTTTTAATTTTAATTTTTTTATGTCTTTTTGAGACAAGGTCTTACTATGCAGTTCAGGATGGTTTTGCGCTCACTTGGCAGCCTAGGCTGGTCTCAAACTCTCAATAATCCTCCTGCCTCAGTCTCCCAAGTGCTGGGATTACAGATGTGCACCACCACACCAGGCTGTAGCCTTGACTTTACATTATTCAGCCTTCTTTTTTCAAAGCGTGTCGTTTATGTTTGCTTAGCACACATGGGGTCCTGGGTTCCATTTCATAGCACTGCAAATCAAAGTGCAATTTAATATTTTACTGCATGCTAAATTCTAGGGTAAGAGTTTCCATCTGCTCAATATGTGTTGAGTGCTACTGTAATTGAAATTATTCCTTACTTCCAGGTTATTATCACCTTTGTTATCCTTGGGAGGAGCACAGTCTGACCACCCTGTGATCCTCCAAATCCCAATCTCCTTCCCTGCTTTGTTTTTCCCCAAAGCAATTATCATGTGACTAGTGTCTATTGTTGTATCCCCAATTCCTAGATAAGCACAGAGTTGGGGAGCCCAATTGAAATGATTACAAATGCAGTATGTAGGAGTTTAAGAGTTAAGAATACAGGAGTTTGGGTCAGTGTGAAAGTATACGACTAAAATGTTAGCACTCAGGAGGCTGAGGCTGGAGGATCCCTACAAGTTTGAGGCCAGCCTGAGACCTTGTCTCAAAAAACAAGACAAACAAACAAAAAAGAATATGTAGGAGCTTAGTGAAGATGTGACTTAATGAAATTTTTAAAGTTCCTTTTGGGCTTCCATAACCTCTGCAAGCCCCTTCCTCCAAAGGGGGCTCCTATAGCAAGTATTTCTCTGAAGGACTTTAACTGTGTTGGGGAGTCAAGGACTGAAAGAGGGAGGCTGCGTGGGGGGGTTCTGGCTGTACTGATGTGGACTCAGCCCATGTCTTGTCCTATGCAGTGCAGTCCCTGGAAGAAGAACTCCTGCTGTTCCACCAACACCAGCCAGGAAGCCCACAAGGATATTTCCTACTTGTACAGATTCAACTGGAACCACTGTGGAGAGATGGAGCCCGCCTGCAAGCGACACTTCATCCAGGACACCTGCCTCTATGAGTGCTCCCCCAACTTGGGGCCCTGGATCCAGCAGGTATGAGAGTGCTCCCGGGACCCCCCAAAACAGCAAAGTTGCCGGCCTTCCAGATGTCTCTGTGGCTGTGCCTCCAGCTCCCCTTCTGTTCTGGGTGGACTGCTGAGGTTCTTCACAACCAGCCCTTCTCCTCCCAAATCTCCCAGGTGGATCAAAGTTGGCGCAAAGAGCGGATCCTCAATGTGCCGCTGTGCCAGGAGGACTGCCAGCGCTGGTGGGAGGACTGTAAGACCTCACAGACCTGCAAGTCCAACTGGCACAAGGGCTGGAACTGGGAAAAAGGTGAAGGCTCGGAAGAAGCGGGGAGGAGGGAAGCAGAGGCGGAGATGTGGAGGTGTGGGACTGAGAGGTGAGGATTTGGGGTTGCAGGACCAGAGATGATCCTAGGCCCTACTGCTGAAGGTCTTTATCCCTCCCATAGGTTACAACCAGTGCCCCGAGGGAGCTGTCTGTCAGCCCTTCCACTTCTACTTCCCCACTCCTGCTGCCCTGTGTGAGGAAATCTGGAGTCACTCCTATAAAGCCAGCAACTACAGCCAAGGCAGTGGCCGCTGCATCCAGATGTGGTTTGATCCAGCAAAGGGCAACCCCAATGAGGAGGTGGCCAGGTTCTATGCCGAGGCTATGAGCGGGGCTGGGCTCCTCGGCGCCCGGCCTCTCCTGTGCAACCTGCTTCTCGTGCTGCTCCGCTTGTTCCAGTGAGCTCTTATCGTCTACTACCTGGTACCCCTCGACCTGCTTAGCACCACAGCTCTCAGTGAAATCAGTTCCTGCTCCATGCCGGGGCATTGGGCAGCCATTTATATAAACCAGACATTCAACACATCTGCATTGTTTGGGAATAAATGAGAATGTGATTGTTTTGCTTCTTGATTTCCAGTGAAGCTAGTTATAGCGGTGGTCATTTTCCAGCTCTGACACAGTGTGAACCAGTCAGACCCCTTGACTGTTCTTCTAATCTAGGGCCCTTTCACAGCTCTCAATTTCTCTTTTCTTTTCTTTTCATCCCCCCAAGACAGGGTCTTGCTATGTAGGTCAGGTTAGCCTTGAACTCAGAGCAGCCCTCCTGCCTCAGCCTCCCAAATGTTAAGATTATAGATATGTGTCACTACTCTGGGCTATTTCTTTTCTTCTTTTTTCTTTCTTTCTTTCTTTCTTTCTTTCTTTTCTTTTTTTTTTTTTTTTTTTTTTTGGTACCAAGAGTTGAACTCACAACTTTGTGCCTGCTAGATAAGCACTTATGCTGCTGAGCTAAATCCCCAGCCCTTGGCTATTTCTTTTTTTTTTTTTTTCCCTTTTCTTTTGATTTTTTTCTACCTATAGTTCTAATTTATAGCCAAGCTTAGCATTTAACCATTTCAACTGGACCTTACTGTGTGCTTGTGATCAGCTTGGGTGAGCTAGAGATGGGAAAACCCAGTGTGCTTTGAGTGGCTAGCTAGGAAGAGGGCAGAGGTCAGCAAGAGCTAATGCCAGCATGGTGCAGTGTAGCACACACTGTTCTATATTCTTTATATTTATTCCAAAAAGACATAGGTACTGGTGTCTGCATTTTACATATGTGCAAAGACAATGGGCCTACGCCTGACCCAAGGAGCTAGGACCCACACTTAGACTCTTACAGCGGATCCCACACCAATCATCTGCAGTCTTCAGGCAGAGTTCCCCCAAAAGTAACGTCTGTAGCAATTGTAAGTGTCCTCATTAGGTCTGGTCAAAAATACAGTGAATGCTGGTGCTGGACAGGCAGGCTTGTAAAACATCATATCCTCATTCCCTTTGTTCACTGGATCCAGCACTGTGAGTCCTGATTCCTTCCCAAAGCCAAAATGATCATGAAATGAATTTTGAATCAACTAAAGACATCAAGGCAGCTACAACAGTATAACTAAAGACAATCAAGAAGGAAGACTTTCAGAAATGCTTCAGAAAGTGGCCAGAATGTTGGGATAAGTATGTTCAAAGCAAGGAAGAATATTTTGAGAGGGATTCATGGCAATGTGTCCTTTACTCTAATAATTTCTTTTTGAGATGGGATCTTGTATAGTCTAGGCTGGCCTTGAATGCACAGTGATTGTCCTGCCTCAGCCTCCATTATAAGCCTATGCTGTCATGTCTGGCAACATCCACCATATATTTGATCATATCAAGTAGCTCAGTGGGACAGAATTGAGATTTCAGAAATAAATCCTTTGATCTGAGTGTGGTGGCCCACGCCTGTAATCCCAGCATTTGGGAAGCTAAGGTAGGAGGATTGTTGTGAGTTCAAAACCAGCCTGGGCTACAAAGTGAGCTCAAGGTCAGCGTGAACTGCATAGAGACTCAATCTCAAAAAAAAAAAAAAAAAAAAAAGAAAGAAAGAAAAAGAAAAAAAAGAAAGAAATCCTTTGTAGTTAATTGATTTGGGGGGATATGATGAGGCTTAAATTGTGGGCCTTGGTGCATTCCAAGCAAGTACTCTACCACTGAGCTCATCCCCACCTCACATGGTTAACTGAGTTTTAATAAAGATGGTTTGTTTAATAGTGGTGGTGAACAATTATCTACATGCAAAAAGATGAATTTAAAGCTTTACCTCACACTATACACAAAAATTAACTCAGAATGATCTAAACTTAAAGTATAAATAAAATAATAGCATTATTATTATTATTATTTTTGAGACAGGGTCTTGTTATATGGTTCAGTCTGCCCTCCAACTCATTATGTAACCCAGGCTGGCCTTGAGCTCACAACAATCCTGCTTCAGCCTTGCCAGTGCTGGGATTTACAAGTATGTATGTGCCACCATGGCCGCCTGTACAGCATTTTAAAAGAGAACAACTTCCAGACTCTATATGAGGCAAAATTTTCTTAAAGCTTCTAGCCATTACTTACATATTTTTGAAGCAATAGCATAGTACATCAATGAAAAAAACTGATAAATTAGACATTATTAAAATTCAAGCCAGGGACAGTGCCTGCCTTGGCAAGTGCGAGGTCATGAGTTCAATCCCTGGTACCCCCAACTCCCCCAAAAAATTCAAGGGCAACCTGCTCAGGACCCCTTCTGTGTCTCTCCCAGACACAGGCTTTCTTTCTCTCCATAAATATATTCTGCTGTTTAAAAAAAGAAAAATCAAGCCAACTATATAGCTCAGCAGCACAGTGCCTGCCTGGCAAGCGTGAAGTCCAGCGCTTGATTTCCAGTACTCCCCCCCACTACCAGAAATAATTAAAGCTTTTGCACCTTTTTTCAAATCCATTTTATTTCAAGGAGAAGAAGAAGGAGAAGAAAGTAAAACTAAATTTCAAAACACATCCATCAGGGAGTAACAATGGTACATGTATTTCACAGTCATCCCCAAATCATTCACCCAGAGCACAAGACATCTGCTTACAATTGTCCGAACAATATTGGCACAAATCTTTCTCGTCACCGAACCAGCAACTTTTGCACTTTATTGTTTGTGTTTTTTGATACAGGGTGTCTGTAGTTGAGGCTTTAATACTGAGATTACGGGCATGTACCACTACTTTTGGTGTAAAACTTTTGCATGATGAAAGGTACCATTAAGGCCTGGCATGGTATTCTATAATCCCAGGACTCAGGAGGCTGAGGCAGAAGGATCACCTTGAATTCCAGGCCAGCCTGAACTACACAGTGAGACTTACAAAAACGGAAAAAAAGAAAAAAAAATTAAATGTAGAACTGACATATAAGCCAGCAACCTTACTTCTAAGTATCTACTCAAGAAAAATGAAAATATTCACTCTAGCAAGTTTGTCTGTTTGTTTATGTAGCCCAGGCTGGCCTTGAAGTCAGCATAGCACAGGCTGGCCTAAAACTCATGGGGGTCCTCCCACCTCAGCCTCCGAATGCTCAGATTCCACGTGCGTAGAATCACCGCAGGTTTCAGGCCAGCCTAGACTACACAGTGATGTGAGGGCAGCCTGAACTATGTAGTGAGAACCTGTTGCAAAGAAAAAGAAAAAACCAAACAGTGAACAAGCAAACAAACAACATGCTGAATGAAAGAGGACAGTGTCACAGATCTCATCATGTATGGCTCCATCTATGTGAAATGTCCAGGAAGATAAATTTATAGAGACTGTAGATTAGTGGTTATGGGCGTAGGGGGAATGAGGATTAACTGTCCCTGGACACAAGGCGATGAGGATTACAGAAAATGAGAACTGACCCATCGTTGTGCCACTCAGAAAAATTATTTTAAACTTAATTGGTAAAATTTATATTCACAAAAATGATTGCTTAGAGTCTATTCCTCTATAACATACAGAGTTTTTCTGTTTGTTTGGTTGGCTTTTTTGATGGGGTCTCACTGTGTGTTCCAGCCTGGCTTGAACTTGTGTGTCTCAGGTTGTCAGCTTCTGCTTGGATGTGTCTGTCTCAGCCTCTCAAGGGGTGGGATTACAGATGCAGGCCACCATGCCAGTATATAGAGAATCTTGATTCTGAATTTTGTGAAATATGCCCATGAAGGAAGCTATTGAAAGGAATTTACCATCGAATTCCACAAAACTATATCGTCTGAGACAAATTCTATTCCATTGTAATTTTTTCTTGTAGTGGGGATTGAAACTAAAGCCTCCACACTGATCTATATCCTGAGTACTTTAAAAAAAGATTTATTTGTAAATCTGGGTGTGGTGGTTCTCATTTAGGAGGCTGAGGCAAGAGGACGGCCATGAATTTCAGGCTAGCCAGGGGTACAGAACTGAGTCTAAAAACAGCCTAAAGAGCTGGGGATTCAGCTCAGAGGTATAAGTGCTTGCCTGGCATTCGTAAGGTGGTAAGTTTGATCCCCAGTACCAAAAAAACCAAACAACAACAAAAACCCAGCCTGAACTACACATCGAGACTCCCTCTCAAAAAAAAAAAAAAAAAAAAAAAGAAGCTGGGTGTGGTGGTATATGCTTGTAATACCGACTGAGGCAGGTGGATTGCCATAAGTTCGAAGTCAGCCTAAGCTAAAAGTAAATTCAAGCCCAGCCTGGACTACACAGCAAGACCTTGCCTCAAAATTTTAAAAAAAAAGTTTTTTGGGGCAGATCTCACTAAAATTGCTAAATTACCCAAGCTGGTTTGGTCTTGAGTTTATGCCTCAGCGTCCCAGAGTGCTGGACGTTATAGATATGAATATGGACCACCATACCCACCCAGCTTCAGCTCTACCATAAGCTTTTTTTTTTTTTTTTTGGTACTTGGGATCAAACTCATGACCTTGCATTTGCCAAGCAGGCACTTATGCCACTGAGCTAATGGCCCCTCCACCATGAACTTTAAGAGACTGATTGGAAGAAGATGGCAATCAGAGAGCAGTTCCATTCTTGGTATAGATTAAAGGATGCCAATAAGGACGATTGGGAGGAGTGGCCCACTGACCAAAGGTTTCCTTTTTTAAAGACAGGGTTTATTCCAGTTGGCACAAGTATGGCCTGCCTAATTGAGGGTTGCAGATCAGAGCTAGGAGGAAGAAAACGGGTTGTGTTGTATGACTAATCGAAAAAGAACATGAAGTACAATTACCCAAAATACGGAGACAATAACCACAATCATATCTCCTTCATTAACTTGACTCATTCCTTTACAATTACTTCTTATTACATTTTGCTGGGTAAGCATTCCCCTCCATAGAAACTTTCTGCCTGGAGGCTGGGATTTTTCTGGAAATCTGAGTCTCGAGACTCTGTGAGGTTGACTCACCCGCTGTTAGTGTATGGTGGTGATGTAAAGTATGAGTCTACTTCCTGTCTGTAAATCACAGCGAACATCAGGGCAGTGCAGAACACCTGTTGACAGCATCAGATGGTCCAGCCCATCTGTCAGTATTCTTTACCAGAATGAAAGCTGAATTTCTGCTGATTGTAAT